TTGAAAAACAAGATTGGCATGCCTTCCCACTTAGACTTCAGTTGGGCTTAGCCATGTGCCTAAAACTTGTATTTGAGGTATACCTGGTGGTAATTTGCACACAAACCCCTCCCCACATTATCTACATCACCTTGTGGTACAAAAGAGACAAGATCATAACAGCAGTGGTGAGAGAATTTTAAAGCCCAACTTCAAGCAAACCTCTATATGTATGACCTTGTGTTCCAATGTGTTCCTTTCACTCATTGTAGCCAATACCACAGGTGCACCTTCCCTAAGTTGCAGTTTTCTCTATGAGGAATGGTAGTTCCTTTCCCTGGGATTGGAAAAACCTGATTTAGGTCCTGGAGGTTTTGTAGAGGTTTCGGAGGGATAAAGCCTACAACCCCAGATCCTCAGTTTGTTGATGTTGAACGAACATCTTGATTGTGCAGGTGTGCACAGCCCTTTTAATCAGGCCATACATGGGTCGAATTCCAAATGATTTTTCAATCGAAAATTGAAAACATCGTTCGTTCTGTAATCCGATGGTGCCACCAATGATTTCGAAAATTGGTTGTTTTTCACGAATTTTCCAGCATGCCCAATAAACAAAATGGGGAGGAACCACGAAAATCGGCCAGTGCCATTGCCCCACTAACAGAGCGAAAATCGGCCAATTATTCTTAGATCCGACTTTTGAACGTAAAATTGTTCAAAAATCGAACCACGTATGGCTGGCCTTAGGATAGGTTCACGGCTCCACCTTTTCCAGGAGCCTGTGTGGCTGCAAGGGAATAGCTAGTGCAGGTGCATGTACTGTATGCACAAGAGTTTTGAGTACTGTCTGTCACATCACACAAAGGCCCAAGCTTGAGGTCAGAGCAGTAGCACTGCAAGTTAAAGCTGGGAGGCTGGAGAAGTATTTTGTTTGCCTGTGGAAAAGAAATGCTGAAAAGCCACTGAGGGCAACCCCTTTGTGTGCCTGGAACTTATTTTTAATAAATGTGGACAAGAAAAAAAAAACAAGAAAAAAAAAAACCAAGAAAAAAAAAAGATATTGGCGGGTGGCTCAGTCCCTAAATGCTCTACACGTAAAGGTAGTTCCTACACCATCTCTTTGTTTGCAAGGGTTTTTTTTTAAACACGATTTATTAAATTTACTTCTGACTTACTTCACAAGTGCTTCCCAGAAGTCGGAATCAAGAGCTGCATGCTGCACTGAAGGGTTTGGGAACAAATTAACAAGCATTGTGGAAGAGGACATTGTAGCTCTGCACAATTTAAGATTTATATCCTTTAATGTTGTTAAATGCTGAGGATTTATTTGACTATTTAAATTTAAAAATGTATAACAATTATAAAAACACGCACTTGAAGGTTTATGAGTACAGCCCATGATCCTGACATGAAAAGCGGATCCTGAAAGTGGATGCTTTTTGTCTTTTTAGTTCTTATTTTAATAGAACTAGGATCTATTAGATCCTCTGCACAATTTTTATCCTTGCTATGCTCCCACTAGATCAGGGTTTCTCAACAAGGCCCTCCCAATGACCACAAGTGTAAGAAGCATTCTTCCCACTGACCATCACACTAATGTATGATGAATTGTAGATAAAGTCATGTATAGCAGGGGTTCCCTGAGACCGGAAAGTTTTTTCAAGTGTTACTGTGTTGAAAGGGTTGAAAAAAGTATCTCAGTGTTGAGGAAGTTCCATAGAGCAGCCAGCAAGGGCACTTCCACTTAACATCTTTGCTGGGCTTATGTCTGAACACAAAGGAGTGCATGTTTGCATGCATTTTCAGTAAACATGTAGGCATGTGTAGTCATGTGTAGGCATGGACTTGTGCATGTGCCTAGTGTTATTGGTGACACCAAGTGGGCTATTTAAGCTTTAGGCTCCATGCACACGGGGCGTTTTAGTAATGCTGGTAACATTAGCTGTGTAAAGTCACATTAAAAACTTGATTTTTTCAGTGATTTTTTAGCGTTTTTGTATCTGCGTTTAACTGCTTTTGTTTACAGTTTTTTTTACCTCCAAAAAAAATTTTTTTTTGCTAAACAAATCCAAAAACACTGGCTTGCTGAGATTTACCGTATTTTGCAGCGTTAGAGCAGTTTTACAGCTAATAAACTCCTCTACAAACCTACTAGTCATGGGGGTTTTTTTTCAGCCAAAAAACACCCCTGCCAAAAAAACGTTGATTATAGTCTACGTGTACATGGACACATAGGATAACATGCTGGGGGGTTTACTGGCTGTAGAAAAAAATGTCAAAAGCCAAAAATAGCCGCTGTAAAAACAACTAGTGTGCATGAGGACTTACCATTGCTTGGCCTGTTGCCTTGCACCCTGCCCTGCCTTTGATCAATGACCTGCTGTAATCAATCCAGCTTGCTGTTCCTAACCTACTTTTGGATTCCCCTTTGCTGGCTTTACTAGGACTGCTGCTTATGCATTACTAACCCAGTTTTACCTCTATGACTCAAACTGTTACTAAACCCAGGACCCTGCATTCACTATATCTGGTCTCCCACAGTACACACAACATGGAAATGCAATTATTTTAGTAAATATAAACTGCTACATACCTTTTCATCAGTAGTTGAAGCAGTCTTGTGACTTCTATCTGTGTTCAGCAGAGCACTGGTTAAAACTTGTAGGAGGAGTTTTCTTTCTGCTCTAGGAGTATGCAGACCTCCTGACCTCTGTCTGGACAGTGCTGATTGGCCCTGTGCCGATCACATGCACTCTCCCAAGAACAAAAAACCTTCTCTAGAAATACACACCAAACTGAGTATGTGCGCAGTGTCTCCATGATATATGTCTTATCAGGAGATAAGAGGGGGACACTGGAAGAAGGGGAGAATCAGAGAAGTCAGAATCAAACAGCACTTTTACACAATACGGAGGATTATTCCCTTCGTTTCCACAGTGAGTACACCAAGCATGCTTTACTGCATATACAGAGTGATTTTACTGTTGTGGGTTTAGTAACACTTTAATTTGTTGAATTGGTACCTTGCTGTCCATCTGTTGTTGCCCCTGATCTACCTTGTGACTGTCCTCCTGCCTCTGATCTGGTAATTTTCTACAAATCTGTTATCAAATCCTGTCTTTTGTGTGACTTCACTGGCTGTCTGCCCGCCATGGTCTTGTCCTGGTCATGTCAACATACCAGTAGTAAGACCTTCTGCCTGAAAAGTTTTCATTACATCTGCAGTAAGAGTTGCTGCATCCTGTGGGTTCCTCCAAGCTAGTCCTCCTAGTTCCAGTGTTACTAAAGGACTCTTACAAGCATTCAAACGATTACATCACAGAGCATCTTTCAGGTTCTTCACTCTCCTCCCTTTCTGTCCCTTTCCTTGTTTGAAGCTCACTGTATAAATCTATTTTCTCCAATTCCTTTAAGAATTGCTGTGATCTACTGGCCCACTGGACTGGTATCAAATCCTTGATGACTTCTCTGCCTGTCTACCCTACTTTCTCTCTTCTGAAATTCCCACAATCATTCTCGCGACTTCAACATTAATTTTAATAATAACATAATAACATTCCTACTTCTAACCTCATTTCACCAGAAGCAATGGGTACATGCTTCAACTTACTCTAATGGCAACACCCTTGACCTTGTATTCTCCTACCTATGCACTCCATCCAACCTCTCCAACAATCCTTTTCCTCTCTCTGATCACCACCTTATTAGTTTCGCTCTCTCCCTGTCTTCCACCACCTCTTCCTCCAACTGCTTAACAATTACCTATAGAGACCTTCGCCACCTCTCCTATGTTCAATCTACACCTCCTCCCTGGGTCAGCTGATAGCCTCCCATGGCTTTCAATATAATTTCTATGCTGACGACACTCAAATCTATCTCTCTACCTCTTAGCTCACAACATCAGTGTCCTCACACATCACTAACTTACTGACAGACATATCAGGCTGGGTGTCATACCACTCAATCTACCAATACCAAGCTCTTAGTAGTATTTCCTCTCCCACGTGCCCTTTTTCCTGACTTCTCTATCAAGATCAATGGCACAACCATCAACCCGTCCCCGCATGCCAGGGTGCTAGGTGTAATTCTGGACTCTGAACTCTAATTTCAGCTCAACATCCAATCACTTTCCAAAGCTTGCCATCTCAACCTCTGCAACATCTCCAAAAAACTCCCCTTCCCAACGAATGACACCAGAAAAGCATCTAAATGACTCCCAGGTTATCTCCCAACTCAACTACTTCAACTCCCACCTCATTGGCTTACCTTTACAGAGGCTATCCCACCTCCAGTCCATCATGAAGGCTGCTGCCAGGCTCATCCACCTTACCACACATTCAGTGTTTGCCACCCCTCTCTGCCAATCCCTGCATTAGCTGCCACTCACCCAACAATCTAAATTCAAAATACTAACAACTTACAAAGCCATCCACAACTTGGCCCCCAGCTACATCACTAACCTAGTTTCAAAATACCACCGAAATCACTCTCTTCGTTCCTCCCAAGACCTCCTGTTCTCTAGTTCCCTTGTCACCTACTCCCATGCTCGCCTCCAGGACTTCTCCCAAGCCTCTCCCATTCTTTGGAATTCCCTACCCCAATCTGTGCAATTATCTCCTACTCTGTCCACTTTTAGGTTTTAATTTGAACTCAAGTGCATATTTTTCTGGCTTTGGTGACAGTTTCATGGAAATTAAAGATAAACTCCAGACAGATTAGAAAAAAAATACTGTATTCAATGAAAAACTAGCTAAAACTGTTGCGTTATCAGCATCTTGTAATTCCTTGCACAGTAGCAGACTGGTAGGAAAATAGTCCGCATTAAAATATTACTAACCCCACAACAGTAAAATCAGTCTGTATATGCAGTAAAGCATGCTTGTTATATTCACTGTGGAACTTAAGGGGTTAATCCTCTGCATTGTGTAAAAACGCTGTTTGATCCTGACTTCTTTGATCCTCTTCTTGTTCAAATGTCCACCCTGATAAGAAGATAGACTGAACCCATAGCCTTTCTGCACATGCTCAGCTTAGTGTGTATTGCTAGAGAGGTTTTTTTTTTTTTTCTTGGGAGAGTGCATGTGATCAGCGCCAATCAGCACTGTCCAGACAGAGGTCAGGGGTTCTGTATCTTCCTAGAGCAGAAAAAAACTCCTCCTATAAGCTTTAACCAGTGCTCAGATGAAGTCACAAGACTGTTCTAACTGCTGATGAGGAAAGGTATTTAGTAGTTTATATTTACTGAAATAATTGCACTTCCATGTTCTGTGTACTGTGGGAGACCAGATATAGTGAATGCAGGGTCCTGGGTATAGTAACACTTTAAGTTCTTCAGCAGTGCACATGTGCAGACAGTGAACATGCTGACAGAAGGATAATGCAGAGAGGGATACATTTGTCTGTCTGAGCCTTTTTCATTGTCCAGTCAGGACGTAGGGGAAGGAATAGCATGGTCCTACTGTAGTACTGTAGCTTCAGTCAGTGTCCCAAATTCTGACTATGTTGTCTAGCCCAGACTGCACAGAATTTCAAATGCTTTGAGCCACGGTTCACACATATGCAGTGTGGGGATGCAGCAAACCCTCTGCATTTCCTGTAATGCAATGGTCTGTCATCTGCTGCGGATGTCATGAAAGTCAACGATACCCCAAAAGCAGGTTGTAAACACAGTGGATTTGTCTGATCTGGACCGCATGGCTAAAACAACCATGCGATCCAGTTCCAGTGCAGCTAAAAAAAATGGTGCCTGCCTTAAAATGAATGGGTCAAGTTGTATCACACATAATCCCATGTGAATTGCACAGGAATGTGGTACTGTTCATGTGCAATTCACATGCTGAAAGGTAAATAAGCAACCATATATGTATTTATCTGTTTACCTTGAGTTCAGCTTGTACATTTTCCTTGATAATAGATAATTGTGGATGAAGAGGGAGGATCAGACTGCCTAAATCTCATCATAGCAGTCTCTAAAGCTGGTCATGCCATGCTGCCTGAGCCACAAGAAAGGGATCTGATGGGAAAAGGGAAATCTGTGATAGAGGGTACTCTAATAGGATGAGGGGGCTTTGTGATGGGAGGATGCTGATGTGATGAGGAGACCTAGTGATGGGGATACTCTAATGCAGTCTTTCTGAACCTTTTCAATACAAAGAAACCCTTTAAATAACTTTCCAGTCTCAGGGAACCCCTGCTAAAAATTACTACATCTTCAACTCATGATACATTAGAGTGACAGTTGTGGGAGGAATGCTCTCTACACTAGAGGTCACTGGAAGAATTGCCCCCTTACAGATAGCTAAAAAGATCAATGGTGTCAGTGGTAACTTATTTGAAAGGCAGAAATTGTTCATTGCTTAAGGAACCACTAGCAACCTCTGGAGGAACGCTAGGGTTTCATGGAAACCTGGTTGAGAAACCCTGCTCTAATATGATGACGGGGCTATGTAATACGAGGACTCTGCTGTGAAGGGGGGGGCTCCCATGCATAGTAGGGACTCTGACATAAAGAGAGGACACTGATGTATTGGGGGGGGGGGGGGGGGGGGGCTCTTCTGTGATGAGCAGACCTCTGATGCCAAGTCTCAGGTTTCCCATTGATGTTGACTAGTGTATATTTTTTCTTTCATTTTAGACTAGCTTGCCATGAGATTTTGCATACTTTAAGGGTGCATCTGCAAATGCACCCACACTCTGATTAGTTGCGAAAACCCCAGCAGGGTTCCTACGATTAGCTGTGGGAGGCAGCCCCATTGAAAGTAATGGGAGGCTCCTGACTCCAACAGCTAATTGCAGCCACTCACATGTAATCTCTCATGCAGAGATTATAAGCGAGTAACCAGCCCTGGATATAGTATTCGGTGTCCAGGGCCGATCAATCACATTTAGGCACTGCATGAGCAATTACATGTGAATAGTCACGATTAGCTGCATGAGCTGTCAGTCTCCCATTATTTTTGAATGAAACTATCTCTCGCAGCCAACATCGGGAACCCCCACTGGGGTTCTCGCATCTAATTAGAGTGTGGGTGCATTCTCAGATATGAATGCACCCTTAAAAGGTGCTATAACTGGAAAAAGGTTGAAAAACGTTTCTCTAGCTCATGTTCTAGCAGCTTCAACATCTTTCAACCAGCTATCCATTGAATAAACAAGAAAATAGATCAAGGCAATGAAATACAACCAGCTTTGATCTTTTTTAAATTTTATAGAATTTGTTGGTGGTAGGTTGCTGTTTAGTTGTTTTGCCTTCAAAAAGTGGTTGAAAGTGCTTTAGAGTAATTGAAACTGCTTACCAAATGACCACGTATAGGCCCGGCAGATGTAATATAAGGAGTCGACCGATGATTCAGTCCACCAGAGACTATCTAAAACTGAAAGGCAGATTATAAAGTCTGATGCAGCATGGCCTTTGGGTGGGAGGATTTTTACAAATGAGTAGAATCTTGCCATAAAATGATTTTTGTAAGTCCAGAAGGTGGAATTTGGGTTAAAATATGTCTGTGCCTAAGAGAGATAACAAAAAGCAATTCTTTACATTACATCTGAAAAAAATATTAAAAGCTGAAGATTTGGAAGATAACTAGGAATTGCTATAATATCCACACAGTTTAAGAGATATACCTATTAAATGTATTTTTTTTCTGTAGATGCTCCTCAATGTGACCCGAGTAATCCAAATATAGAAGAAGATAACAGTAGGGATGGGACTGAATCCCCTAGTGTCATTTTTTTACGATCAGAATAGCTGAGCTGTGAGACAGCCACCCTATTTATATATTTAGCTTTTATTTTCTTAGTTTCCTTACATGGACAATAAAATGGTGATGTGCACACTGTCCCTGAGCTTTGTCGATTCGTAAGGACCATGCCATGCTTGCAACAACTCACCGTCAACAAGACGTCTACATATGGTGTAGGAATACCTGTTTCCACAAAATCAGTCCCTCATTGGCTGGATGAATGAGGCGTCACCCTCTTATATACACCCTCTAATGTAGAATCTTCTATACCAACCAGGGAGCGACACCTTGCTTATGAAGCCAATGAGGTAGCAACGTTGTAGAAACTGGTGAGTATATCTCTCTGCCCTTTCCAGCAATCAGCTAGAGAGGTGTAATATGGCCCTTTTTCACACTAAAATTGAAATTAAACGCTTTCTTTAAAATATCCTATCAGTAAAGCTCCATGTTATCTACATCAGCACTTGCAATCCCAGATAGGAGCACACAGGTGACAATGCTGCAGGCAGACCTTTCAAGACAGCGTTTTCACCCCGAGAACAGAAAGCGGCTTAAGCTACCAAATGGATTCCTTCATCCACATACACAAGGTGGATAGAGGAATTCTCACCGCTTTACCATTGTATTGTGACTCCTCCTTGAAAAAAGCTTTACAACAATCCTGTTCACCAGAATTTATAGTTAGGTTGACTTTTGTTCAGTGGGAACTGTCACGGTCGCCCGATCGCCACCCTCAACATGCGACAATCACACGACCGCGACCAACAATAAAACGTCACGCCCTCGGTGTCAGACCCCAGACCTTCTCACCAAACTCGTGACCAAAGGACCAGTCGATCTAAAACCGCGATGTGACGTGCGTAACAGTGCCACACTCAGCTGCGCTCTGCACAACGATTGTCCAGCTAATGGAACACAATCGACGCCCCGGCAGCCTGAATGCGCTTGTTACTGGGTCGGGTTAATTACGCAACTAACCCTTCACTGCCACCACCCCTTTTTGTACAGAGAAAGGGGAAACTCTCTTTATCCATTATATACTGTAATGGTTGAAAAGTCGCCTGTCCAATACGGTCACCGCAGGCCGATTGGGCAGAGGATTAAACAAACACAGTAGCATCTCTTCAAAAGGCAGGAAGTAGCAAGTAAGCGCTTAGAAACAGTTTAACACTTCAGAAAGAAAGATTTATTACTAAAAGAGTCAAACAGGTGCAATAAAATATTTACAAAGAAAATGTAACTAAATATATATATTTATATATATAAAAGCAGCATATCACAGCCAAGAGATAACAGGGAGAAGTTAAAAGGTTAAGTTACTTACCATGTTAAGCCTTGAGGTAGCAGATCCAAGTTGCAGAGCGGAAAGGGTCTTTGATCTACTGCTGTTACGATGTTAAAATTAGGAGATCTCTTTAGCTTAACCTCAGGCCTACAGCCTGTGCTTTTTTAAAGTCCCCCAGCAGGGAGGTGCCTTTGAGTAACTGGCCAACACTCTGTTTAGGGAGGGATATCGGGTGGACTCTGAATTAAAACCAATATCTTCATAATCCAAGATATGAAACGCAGGGGACAAACTGACTTGAGGAATGATCATTTCATTCTGTCACCTTAAGCTGTTAGGTTTTATGAGGTTACAATCTCTTTCAATTCCTGGGAGAAGCTGCCTTATGATGAGTGAGCCTATACAGGTTCTTGGGTCAGTGCTTCCCAATTCTCTGAGGAACACTGGCCTTATTATGACTTAGGTGAGGAAGGCTACACTTTCGCAGACTGCCAGCTCCCACTTAGGCTGGGATTGCCTAGGGGAGCCCAACCTGATGAAGGGCTCCATCCCATGCCCGACGAAGGGGTCCTGCATGAAACTTTGCACTTTGTCCACTGTGATGTGATCATTCATAAATAAAGACTTTGGACGGTACTTGAGGATTCATGGTGTGCTGGCAAATATGTTTGTTTAAAGCAAAGCATTGCTCGAGCATGTACAGTTGTGTTCAAAATAATAGCAGTGTGTTGAAAAAAGTGAATAAAGCTCAAAATCCTTCTAATAGCTTTTATTTCCATACACACAAATGCATTGGGAACACTACACATTCTATTCCAAATCAAAACATGAAGAAAAATATATCAAATTTGTGTTGTTCCTCTAAACAAATTGAAGAAAAGTGAATATTGGACTGTTCAAAAAAATAGCAGTGTTTGTATTCTTCTTTACAAACTCAAACATTCACTATATAAACTGAAAAATGTTTGAAGATTTTGCTTTCCTTTAAATCATTTAATTATTATTTAGTTGTATAAGCACTGTTTCTGAGAACTGCTGTACATCTGTGTTGCATGGAGTCAACCAACTTCTGGCACTTGTGAACGGGTATTCCAGCCCAGGATGATTGGACTACATTCCACAGTTCTTCTCTATTTCTTGGTTTTGCCTCAGAAACTGCATTTTTGATGTCACCCCACAGGTTTTCTATTGGATTAAGATCCGGGGATTGGGCTGGCCACTCCATAACGTCAATCTTGTTGGTCTGGAACCAAGATGTTGCACGTTTACTGGTGTGTTTGGGGTCATTGTCTTGTTGGAACACCCATTTCAAGGGCATTTCCTCTTCAGCATAAGGCAGCATGACCTCTTGAAGTATTCTGATGTATTCAAACTGCTCCATGATCCCTGGTATGCGATAAATAGGCCTAACACTGTAGTATGAGAAACATCCCCATATCATGATGCTTGCACCACCATGCTTCACTGTCTTCACAGTGTACTGTGGCTTGAATTCAGTGTTTGGGGGTCTTCTGACAAACTGTCTCCAGCCACTAGACCCAAAAAGAACAATCTTACTTTCATCAGTCCACAAAATGTTGCACCATTTCTCTTTAGGCCAGTCAATATGCTCTTTGGGAAATTGTAACCTCTTCAGCACATGTCTTTTTTTCAACAGTAGGACTTTGCGGGGGCTTCTTGCAGATAGCTTGGCTTCACATAGGCGTCTTCTAATTGTAACCGTACTCACAGGTAACTTTAGACCTTCTTTGATCTTCCTGGAGCTGATTGTTGGCTAAGTCCTTGCTATTTTGGCTATTCTTCTATCCATTCGAATGGTAGTTTTTCACTTTCTTCCACGTCTTTCAGATTTTGGTTGTCATTTTAAAGCATTTGTGATCATTTTAGCTTAACAGCCTATCATTTTCTGCACTTCTTTATATGTTTTCCCCTCTCCAATAAACTTTTTAATCAAGGTACGCTGTTCTTCTGAACAATGTCTGGAATGACCCATTTTCCTCAGAATGTCAGAGAGAAATGCACTGTAACCAGCATGTACAACATTTGCTGCCTTACTTCCTTAAATAAGGGCAATAATTGCTACCTGTTTTTCAAAGAATGAATGACCTCACTAATAGAACTCCACACTGCTATTATTTTGAACATGCCCCTTTCAATTAGTGATTCAATTGCACAGAATCAGCAGCATGAATGTCATGACTGTTGGGTCTGTTGGATTTTCTATTACTCCACTACACCTGCTAGTAAATTATTTGTCATGTAGAAATATCATTTCTACCAAAAACAGTGATTGATCAGGTTAGTGATGTCTGACTGCTATTATTTTGAACACAACTGAATATTGGGAGTCAGCTGGGAAGCCACAAGGAGTCATAGCTGGATTCCCACAATAAACATGGGGGTGATGGGTACCGAAGATCATCAAAGAACCAGTCTGTGTGGAGACAGCGCTAGACACCTGGACAGGTAACTTTTTATTAGACGTCAGCAGCTACAGTATTTATTTTTTAAAGAGGCTGAAGAACCATTAACTCTACTTAACTCACACACTGACTACAAGGTTGTTGATGGCACAAACAGATCCTGGTCTCTGTTTATGATTGGAGGTCAGCGGGACGGGCTCCCGATCATATGACCAATCAGTGTTCACTCAATCAGGAAGTCCACCCTGCCTGCCAGCCGTAAAGGCCCAGTCAAAGGGCCACCGGGAGGGTGCTGAAAGGGGTTAACTAGAAAGGTAATTTCTATTAACCATTCATTAAAAAAAAGTTTTGTGCATTAATTTTATACTTTAAAGTACAAATCAGTCAGCACATAAAAACTCTAGTGACGTTGCAATGTTTTTACAGACATTTTATAACTATGGAATCTGTCATCAAGTTAAGTACTTTTCTGATGTCGGCTGTCTGTGTCTGATTCACAAGCTGCATGCTAACCACAGGCCAGTAAACCTCCTATTCTGATTTACTGCAAGTGAGTAAATTGACTTGGAACTGGTAAGCAGTGTGCAAGTCAGGTAATGGCAACATGCACTGGGCTAGTGCTTGATGTGAAGCTAAACCATTAAAGTGTTACTAAACTCACAAAAGTAAAATCAGTCAGTATATGCAGTAAAGCATGCTTGTTATAGTCACTGTGGAACTTAAGGGGTTAATCCTCTGCATTGTGTAAAAAAAAAAATGTTTGATCCTGACGTTTCTGATCCTCCCCTTCTTCTAGGTTTCCCATTTAATCTGCTGATAGAACACAGCCTCAGGGACACTCTGTACATGCTCAGTTTGGTGTGTACTGCTAAAGAGGTTTTTTTTTTTTTTTCTTGGGAGGGTGCATGTGATCAGCACAGGGCCAATCAGCACTGTCCATGCAGAGGGTCAAGGGTTATGCAATCTCATAAGGCAGTGAGAGAATGAAAACTCCTCCTACAAGCTTTAACCAGTGCTCAGCTGCCCACTGATAGAAGTCACAAGACTGCTATATACTGCTGATGAGAAGAGGTATTTAGCATATTTACTAAAATAATTGCACTTACATGTTCTGTGTACCGTGGGAGACCAGATATAGTGAATGCAGGGTCCTGGGTTTAGTAACACTTTAAGTAAACAGCACCTATTTCCCCACAGCTCCCTAATCTCAGGGAAGACAAAGACTTCTGATATACTTACTTTATACCACATCAGAGTTTTCCTCCAGGCTTCCTTTGCCTCCTGTACTGGCATATGGCTTTGTCACAGAAATGTCCCCCCCTACTAAGATAGGTATTCCAGAAGTGAATAGAGGGTACAAATAATAAATGCGGTTAATTTAATTGTTTCCATATGCATCATAGTACAGGCATTTTGGCAAAAGGTTTTCAACACTGGAAGCATGGAAAAAAGCAGTTCCTTATGGTATCCCTATCCACTAATCTCCTACAAACTGTTATACCGGCCCTAATTGTTAAAGTGGAATTTCAGGACAAACTTAACTACTCCTAAAAATGCTCCCTTCACCCTTCTAATACCTATGCTGACTAACCTGTGTAAGAAAGATGTATATAGTTACCCAGTTTCAGCCTGCTCTGGTCACGTGATCCAGCTCTACTGTGGCAGCAACAGCTGCAGGGGAGAGGAGGTTAAGCTGATAACGGATGGGCCATAGGAGCCTATAAGGGACGTCACCACTCCAGGCTTTACAAGCCCTTGTTGAGTGCTCTCTCCTCTCATCTGCAATTGCCTCTGGGTGACATGGGAGATCATATGACCGGACCAGAGTGGGCTGAAAATAGGTAAGTATATACATCTTTCTTACACAGGTTAGTCAGTATAGATGTTAGGAAGGGGAGGGAGCATTTTAAGACTAGTTAGGTTTATCCTGGAATTCCACTTTAAAGAAGAAGTACAACTAAAGCACTTTTGGCTGTACTTCTCCTGTGCATCACAGGAGTGCATTTCGTTCTGCACTCCTGTGAACCATTTTCAGCTGATAGAGAGCTGTAGCCCACTGTCGGCTGACATCACTCGGCTGGTCCAAGCTGGTGAAAGAACTCCACTTTAAAGTGAGAGCGGCTGTGAGAACTCACACTTAGATCCGGCAGTGAACAGATGCAGCATCAGACCGATGCTCCATCCACCTAGGTAAGTATAATTTAAAATAAAACAAAATACAATCCTATACTTCTCTTTTAACTATTCCCCTGCCCAAACCTAACACTTACCCTAACCCCTAACATTTACCCTTTGTTCTGCCCAACCATAACACTTAACCCCTAACATGTAACCCTTACGCTACCCAGATCTAACACTGATTTTTACTGTTATTTTTTAAGGAAACTGGTTTGCCTAAAATAGCATTACAAATAAGGAAAATTCTAACTTTTAAAACAGTTTATTCATCCCTAAATACTTTTTTCACATGATCTTTTTCTCTCTATTTAAACTCTGTGAGAACAGAGCTGGGGGAGAGGGAGAAAAGGGGATAAATCTCTGCTTCAACCCATTGTGTGTAAAGTTTCAGATAGAGCTATTTAGCATTATAAACAGGCTTTTATTTTAATAAACTGAAAAGAAAAAAAAAAAGTCCAGAGTCCATTTTCTGGCTAAAATTTAAAAATGAAATATATTCATATACAAAAAAAAAGAATTAGACTGATAGCAAAAAAAGATCAGGTGGTCCATTGAGTCTTCCTTTATTTTCAAAACATAAAAAAAAAGGATGAAATATACAGTATATATATATTAAAAACAACATATTTTCTTTTACACCCTAAAAGTAGTCTCTCTGGGAGCATTGAAGCCTCATATGGTACTAAGTGGTAACATTGCAGTTTTTATATTAGCAAAGCAATGTCCCATCCCAGCCATAACAGTCTTTAGTGCCTCTGTTTGATTGCAACGCTTAATTTTATATTATAATTTTGAGGCCTTTGTATTACACAAGATAAATTTGCTATTTGGTCTAGGGGGTAAGAAATAAGCATGACTACTTACCTTGTTCCTCACATTCTTAGGCTTCCTCCCCATATGACCAGTTCCACAAAGCTACTCCAACTCAGCACCTGTCTGATCAAGGCATCTCCAACACCATCATGGCACTTGAAGGACCAGACCACCACAAACTTGGAGTGAGAGAGAATCCTGGTTCCAATCAGCAGTTGGCAAGAAAACAGGAACAGGTTTGCATCTGATGTCAGTCATGGAGGTCACACCAAGAAGGCAGGTAGGCAGAAGCAAGTCATAGTCAGGAAGTAGCAGGGTCAGCAACAAGTAGGCAGGGCAGGTCTAGGTGTACCAGATCAGCAACATGTAAAAAGAGCAAAGCAGGTCTGAGGGCAAGTCTGGTCAGCAAGAGGTATGCAGGAAAAAAAATAGGATGTGGTTATTCAGGTCAATAGGTAAACAGCTAAATACCATCCAGAAATTTCTTGGTTTAGATCTAATCGTTAAATAGACCTTCTGTGCTGGAAATGGGAATGAGTGCATGTACAATATATGCAAAAGGATGGTTATGACTCTAAGCCTTCAGCCATGTGTCAGAGCACATCTGCTATTTTCCTGGCATAAGGTAAGTATTCCTGATTTTTTCTTGTGCCTAGACAATACAAGCAATTAACCCATGCTGTTTGTCTGTTTGTGGGGGAAGGGGGTCCTCTACCTTAGGAAGTGCCACAATCTGAGTGAAAAATATACCACATGCATAAACACCTCTTGCACCTTTTATAGTTCTTTGTCTCACATCTAATATGTCTGATAATGTCAAGTAACTTGGCACATGGGCTTTTTAGGTCCGGACCTGAGAACCCATACAATTCTGTGGTAAGCAAAACCCGCTTGAAGTAGGTCAACTGCAGGTCACAAGGTGAAATGTAGGTAAGATGTACCTGTGAATGAGTTCTGAATGATCTCAAACTGATGTGTAAGCCGTGTACCGGGGTGGGCTCCCCAGGATACAGTGAAGTCACGAACGAGGAAAGCAACCCCAACACCAGCTTTTGTCACAACAGAATTTTACTTAGATGTGGCAAATAAACAAAACCACAAATGCTGGGAACATACAATAAATTTACATACACTCAGCCCAAAGGCTGAGACCCTTGTGCTGCAAAGCACGGCGCCTTCTGATGGAGGAAGGTAAAAAGTGAAGTAATTTACCTACTGGCGGGCACAACTAAGCTGCCACACCTTACCCGTTATTACCCTAAAAGAGCAGGAATCAGTGTATGGGTGTACGGTATGGGCTAGCCTGCGGTGCAGCACAACAGCTTACAATCTTACACAAATTCTACAGTATTCTCCCTCCCATAATTGGTCCTGTAGCACGTGCCTGAGTATTCCTTCTGAGCAAAATGCCAGTCTGGCTTGAGTTTGTAGGATTTTATCAGTTCTCCAATGGGAAATGTCACTTTAAGTTGTGGAGTCCTTCCAATGATCAGTAATAACACTTGTGGCCTGACACAACCAGAGACCCTAACTAACTAACTATAGGCCTGGACTCAGTCTTATAGTCACCACACTGAAAGGAGGTGCGTGCACAATTCTTACCGACCCGGGTCTGTATTGCAGCCGCTGATGACTCTGAACAGAACAAAAGCCTCTCCACGAATCATGCGATTTTATCAGCAATGTATGTTGCTTTGCACCTCTGTCCTCATCAGCTTCCTGGCAGCAAATCTTCCCCTCTTTGAACAGGATTAGCGTCTTGAACACCATCAGCTTCACTCAATGGGATTTCTGATTACGGAGGGCAGTCTTCACAGCTGGATGGCAACAGATTCTCCGATCACTCAGCCTTCTCTCTCTCTCTAGTATGGCTGCTCTCCTCTCCTTTTCCTGTTCACTCTCCAAGTGTAAAACCCCACCCCCTCATGAATATAGAAATCTCTATGCAGTCTGAGGCTGTTAGAAAAAAACAGTGACATCTTGTGGCTAAACTGCAGAATGTCAGTCAGAACGTTTTTAATTTACTTCAATCAGTGTTCAAACAATGAGAGCTGTTTCCCCATCCCACAGATGACATCGACACAATTCCAAAGACTGTTGACCAAGACCCTAATTATGATTAATATGGCTCTTTATGTGAAAACCACCATGACCCGATCCCTATGTCACTCTCAGTGTATTACTTGGTTCCACTCTCTGTTTGAAAACAAAAGCTGCTAGTAGAGGGGTGTCAAACTCCATTTCATCGCGAGCCGTATCAGCATTATGGTTGCCCTCAAAAGGGCTGTTTGTATCTATAAGACTAGGTGTCCAGAGCACTCCACAGCCCTTTACATCAGATGTCAAGAATCCCACACCCTCCCTAACATCACGGTGTGCCCCCTTTGGGGGCAGAGCTGGAAAGCAGAAAGTGCAGGGTCTGGTGGAGGAGTGGAGTCAGTTACCAGAGTCTTCTGAATGCTGAGACCAGGGGAGGCAGAGATGAGGAGTGTTTGCAACTGCACTGAGAGGTGCAGTTCTTTTCTCCTCTCTGCTGTTGGCTGCTGAGGCAAGGTGGGGGTAGAGACAAGGGGGGGTACCTGCAGGAGAGGTGCAAGGGCCACAAGAGATGGCCTGGATTCGGCCAGCAGGCCTTGTGTTTGACACCTGTGTGCCAGTACCTTAATGATATAAATCATCTATAATATTTATTTCACATGTGCCGCACTATAAATTAAATGTCTATGAAAGGTCTAATAGCAATGTGTTCGCTTCAAGTCAGGAAAAGCTATATCAAGATGCCAATCTCCTGCAGAGTTTTCCTTCTCAGAAGCACTTAACTAATAGAGAGCATAATGTATTTTTTTTTCTTTATTTATTAACAGAACAGTTTATTTACAATAACTATGAACTCAAATGATTGATGTGTACCGCCCCTTAATGTGGATGTGAGAACTCCTTCAATTGTTGGAGATACAATATAGAGCAATGAGAATCCATACATATATCATTACTAAATTGTATTATCAGGTACTTAAAACATTACATACCATCCAACATGTGTATATGTATGGATTGTTATATATTGCACTTGTAGAAGATTTATTCAGCCATCCTTCTTCTGCAGTCTACCCCTGATGGAAGAATTAAGATGTTCTGAAACGCATT